CACACACACACACACACACACACACACACACACACACACATACACACACACGCACACATATATATATATCAACGTGAGATTTTACGAATATGTCTGTGTGTGTTAGGTGAGTGCACGCGCACACACACGCATACGAGACGCTCTCGCGATTCTATCCAGTTCATTTATTAATCCCTGGTTTGTAGGTGGCGTTTCCCGCTGTCAGGTCATTATATTATAAAGTTTTCACAAGTTAACCGAATGACTCGTGCTCTGTTACACAAGTTAATTACAGATGGCGTTTAAGAAAATATCGGAGGTGAAATTAATGAGTTATAAAATTGTATAGAATTGTATGACATTATAAATGACAGTGTAGGAAGTTTATTTTAATACGACGTGCTCCAGATAGACTGGAAGTGTTTGCTTTATTCGTACCTACACATGAAAACGATGAGTCGATGACACATACGCTGCATACTAAATAGTCTTACTTATACACCAGTACTTACTTATACATGGTCCCAAACACAAAGGAGTTTTATTAGTGGGCATATGCAGGATATCAAGAGTAGATAATCTACTCTTGAGGATATTAGCATGTTCTAAGCTACAGTGTCACTGACACATTTTGAATCGTTTGATAAATAGTTTTGAAGATCTTCAAAGCAGCTGACTCAGACTCATGTAGCGTGATGTAGCTGCTATACATGCGGTTGGGACTTGGGATAATATTCAAGCTCCATCCTTCACGGCTTTATAATATACACAATAGTTATTACGAATCAGCAAATGCATTCGTAATGTTTTATTGGCGTTGTTTTATTTTGCACTTGTTATGCTCAAGAACATGTTTTAAGACACATGATGTCGGTTTATGATCTAATAACAGATTGCGGTTTACCTGGAGCCATGTTTCACGATTTGCTTCTGGTTATGACGTGTACACATATACGTGCGCGCATCCACATTGTATGAGGTTTCTGTAACTTGATAATTAAGCCAGGTTGTAGTGATGTACAGTGCTGCTGCTGCTGCTGCTGCTGCTGCTGCTGCTGCTGCTGCTGCTGCTGCTGCTGCTACTGCTGCTGCTGCTACTACTACTGCTGCTGCTGATGATGATGGTGATGATGACGACGACGATAATAATGATGATGATGATGATGATGATGATGATGATGATGATGATGATGATAATAATGATGATAATGATGATGATGATGATGATGATGATGATGATGATGATGATGATGATGATGACCATGTTTTCCGTATTTTGTAGCTTCGGTCCAATCAATGGCAGGAAGCCGGCGAAGGCGACGCTAGTGGACCACATCAGCGCCCTCACGGGGGAGTTTCGCAAACTAATCGACCTCATACTCAGCAATGAAATACATGTAAGTGTGCACATACTCAGCAATGAAATACATGTAAGTGTGCACATACTCAGCAATGAAATACATGTAAGTGTGCACATACTCAGCAATGAAATACATGTAAGTGTGCACATACTCAGCAATGAAATACATGTAAGTGTGCACATACTCAGCAATGAAATACATGTAAGTGTGCACATACTCAGCAATGAAATACATGTAAGTGTGCACATACTCAGCAATGAAATACATGTAAGTGTGTACTGTGCACATACTCAGCAATGAAATACATGTAAGCGTAACACACGCGCACAACGTTCTTTAGTTTCCATCCACGCTCTTTTTATAGTAGGCATACTTTCTATTATAGTATTATTATAGTATTATATATAGTACTTTCTTATTATAGTACCCACCTATTATAGTACCTTCGAACTAACGTCAGATCGAGAAATAATAATAATACATTAAAGTGTTCATATATATATTATTAGTTCTTGATCAGGTGGTTAACGCGGTCACGCCACGTCGACTAAGGTCTGATTTATCCTTACATACTACGACTGGCCTTACATATTATTATGTACACCATACATCCGTGCGATATACACACGGAATATGTACAAGCCGTAAAACCACTTCGTCCGCAGCTATAGTTCTTCTGAATATCGGTATAAAAAAAATCGTCGAAATATGGACGACAACAATGTGTGACAGGTGTCAGCGATGTAACACGCGCATGCGCGTCACTTGTCTTGCAGAAAGTCGTTCATTGCATCGACACGGCAGAGAACATTGCCAGTCTGAAGTACGCAGTGAGTCGGCTCACAAAGCTAGGCCTGGAGGGAGACAACATGTGTGCTGTCATCGCCAAGGTATGCCATCTCCCTCCGTGAAGAATTCTCCCTCTGCGAAATTACCCTCATACTTGGTCTTATATTTTATATATACACTTAATATATTATCTCATTGTAATAACTTTTATGAATTTTTCATTATATATTTATACATTGTAATACCTTTGTAATACTTTTATACTTGGTCTTTTTCTTTATCGCATCATCACTATAGCTTATGTGACATTATCTGATATATTCGCTTATGATATATTATATTATTTATAACCTTTATTATTGCGCTCTAATATCTGCAGTACGGTGAGAATTTTCACGCACCTGATTGTCACAAGCAATCGAGTTTATTGTTGATACATTGGACCTTCACTCGGCCAATACAGCTCTAGTTGCTATGGCATTCGCTTCATTTCTTGTGAAATATTGCTTATAAATATATGATAATATATATTATATTAACTATATACACCAACCCACAGGTAGTAGTTTCAAAAACCGCTCTATACAACCAGTATAACAATAAAACAATACAAAAAGTATATAATTGGAATTCTTTCGGACAAGCATACCTGGGTCGTGCATGCTGTACGGTTCTCGGAAATCCCGGAATGTCAGCAGGTTTAGATAGATTCAAGAGCGTACTAAGCATTCTTAATACGCTCTTGATAGATTTTAATTCCACCGCGCGCGGTCTCTGATAGAATGTGTTTGTTTGCTGTTTGTAGGAGGGAGGCGTTAGGGCGTTACTCAGTGTCTGTATGTCTGGGGAGCTAGACTTTGCCTGGGACATGGCGCTGCGCGGACTCGCTACCATCTGCTGTGTAGCCGACAGCATTGCCGAGCTCGAGAAGGTGAGTCATCAACATGGTCACCATCTTCGTAACGTCTGATTATTGTGTTATTGTTATTGTTATTGTTATCGTTATCGTTATTATCGTTATTGTTATTGTCATCATGATTGTTTTTGTGATATATTTATTGTTATTGTTATTATATCACGTGTTATTTTCGTAGTGTTATACCCGACAGCGTTATCGTTTGGTGCCAACAAGTGTTTTTTTACGCGCAATACAAATCGTTTTTGATAACTGACAGAGCTGATTGTGGAGTTTATTGGGGATAGAGTTGGTTATGAAGACACCAGTGCCGCGTCCTCCCGCTACCTTCTCGCTTCACCTAACGCGACACGATTCACAGAACTAACTCGTTAAAAGGGAAAACCGTGACGGGCGCCGTGAAAGCTTGCCTCAGCTCGCCCCTGGGCAGCACCAAATATGTGCAGCGGATGAGCGGATGATTGCGAGAATGTCTTCATGGGTTTTTCATCGGGGACTTTGGGTTGGCAAGAGCCGTGTACACATAGTAAGCAAATTGCTATCAGTCACTTTCCCGCTGCTCGTCTGCTGGTGGATTGTGATGGAGCGGTATAAGTGGGCACGTAGACACGCAAGCGGTGCAACATTCCTACGTAATGTATAATAACACATGCGTCGTTTAATAATGCGAGTATAATTTGAGAGTTGCATTGTGTAACCCGGTGCGAAACCCTTTAATTAAATGTCGGATTTTCCGAACTGGGTGGTTTTTTTTGCGCGTGACTCATTTTCCCCGCCCGCGATCAAACGCGTCTAGGAGAATGGAGTTTTTCTTGAACGATGCTCGCTATAGCAATTAACTGCGAATGTCAGCTTTCGAAAATAGTTCTGGTTAATTATATGTAATTTCACTATTCTTGCGTCGGCTGTTTTTCAACCAACCATGCTATAAACTCCCGTCGTGCATCACTCAAGCGTGTGTTTTCACTAAACACGGGCTACTTACGGTAAATACACCTTTCACGAGACTGTCGTCACGTGATCACACGGATTTGAGTTTTTTGGCTAGTAGTTAAAATAGTGGAAACAGCGGTTGCCATATGGCGCTGTGATCGCTATTTCTACACATTCATGAAATGCCTACATCCGAAAAATAGCTTTCAAGAAAACCCCCGTTGACTTCGACATCGATATTGCATCGGGGAGAACAACATCCTGAGACAATGCTGGATATCAACAGGCTGCCATTTGAATCCAAAAAAGTTCCCCATGTTCTTTATACACGAGAAAACACGAGCATACGTCATTTGTCATACGTCATTCGTCATACATCATACGTCATTCTTCATACATAATACGTCATTCGTGCATGAATTATTTTCATTAATGACACTGTCGCTAAAATCTTAAACTATTTCTGTCATTCGTTATACATCATACGGTATACGTCATAAATCATACGGTATACGTCATACATCATACGTTATACGTCATACATCATACGTCATTCGTACGTGATTAATGGCACTGTCGCTAATATCTGCTGTTTGTGTCATTGCAGGGTAACGGCATCTACTGCCTGACGGAGATACTATTCGACCAGGCGACACCGGTGGCGCTGCGAGCGGAGGCGGCGGGTGTCGTCGCTCAGGTCACCTCTCCTCTGCTCGACCACTGTCACAAGCTGCAGGGCTTCATGGAAAACCTCGAGGAGCTCATATATTCTCTCACAGGTTCGTACGTCCGCTCCAGCTGAACCGGTTACCGGGGGGATGGGGTGTTGATGGTCGTCGTTGTCGTTGGCTGCATCGGAGAGTGAATAAGGGAGATGGTGTGCTAACGGAATGATGGTATCAAGAGCTAATAATGCATAGATTATAATACATAGATTATAATACATAGCTAATAATGCATAGATTATAATACATAGCTAATAATGCATAGCTAATAATACATAGATTATAATACATAGCTAATAATGCATAGATTATATAATACATAGCTAATAATACATAGAAAATAATACATAGCTAATAATGCATAGATTATATAATACATAGCTAATAATGCATAGCTAATAATGCATAGATTATAATACATAGATTATAATACATGGCTAATAATACATAGATTATATAATACATAGCTAATAATGCATAGATTATATAATACATAGTTAATAATACATAGATTATATAATACATAGCTAATAATGCATAGCTAATAATACATAGATTATAATACATAGTTAATAATACATAGATTATATAATACATAGCTAATAATGCATAGATTATAATACATAGCTAATAATGCATAGATTATAATACATAGCTAATAATGCATAGATTATAATACATAGCTAATAATACATAGCTAATAATGCATAGATTATATAATACATAGTTAATAATACATAGATTATATAATACATAGCTAATAATGCATAGATTATAATACATAGCTAATAATGCATAGCTAATAATACATAGCTAATAATGCATAGATTATAATACATAGCTAATAATGCATAGATTATAATACATAGCTAATAATGCATAGATTATAATACATAGCTAATAATACATAGCTAATAATACATAGCTAATAATGCATAGATTATAATACATAGCTAATAATGCATAGATTATAATACATAGCTAATAATGCATAGATTATAATACATAGCTAATAATGCATAGATTATAATACATAGCTAATAATACATAGATTATAATACATAGCTAATAATACATATATTATAATACATATATTATAATACATAGATTATAATACATACAGGTATTATTAGCTCTTGATGGAATGTAAAAAGGTATAGCAAATCAACTGTCAATCAGTTTATGTAATTACAGTGTGTTGCCATTGTTCACCATTATACACATGCTATATAATTATTGGTCTACGTGAAGTGTCTTTATGAGTATTCCGCAAGAGGCTGACTTTATTGGATGGCAGAGGGCAGTGGGTCATGTTTAATAATACCACGGGTGCGGACATATCATCAATGCTATATATGCTATCATCAATCATACCAGCCATCAATTATTAGCTTCACTCTACCTTCGTGTAGGTGTCATGTACCTATTTGATATATATTGTCATATATATAGGTGGGAGTTTTATGTAGCTTCAGCATGTCCTTGTTCTCACGGACTTGCTCTCACGTATTGCTCTCACGTATTGTCTTACGGCTTGTTCTCACGTATACATGCTATATGTATATAGCATATAGACTACATTATAGAGCATATAGTATATAGGCATATAGTAATATAGACTATATTATATATTTATATATATATATATAATAGTCTATATTATATAAACTATATACACTATATATGATATTATAGACACTATATAGTGTATATTATGATGCCTGATGCTACTCGTGTATACATGCTATGATATTCGGGTCCAGCGATAACATGCCTATACATGTGTGATGACTATTGCAGAGCTATGTCGGGAGGCACAGAATCCGGAGTTCTTTCTCCTCGGAGCCGCCGCCATCGCCAACATCTCGTTTATAGACAACCTAGCGTGTGAATACATCAAGAAGTACCACACGACAGAGGTGTTCGTCGACGCCTGTCGCACGGGCAGAGCGTCTATGATATTCGCCAAGGATCAGGTGAGTGATATATATATATATATATATGTGTGTGTGTGTGTGTGCGTGCGTGCGTGCGTGCATGCGCGCGCGCGTCCGTGTGAGTGTCTGTTTGAATGTTAAAGTGGGAGAACGCGCGTGCATCAATAGATCCATCCGTTTATCCATCCATCTATTAATCTAGTCCCCTACCCACCTATCTGTCTATCTAACATATTCTAATATAATAGATAAATATTATAATCAGATTCTTAATAGATGGATCATAATAGTCAGGCAATCAGATCATACGTCATGATAATTATAACAGTCAGACATAATCAGATCATATATCATACATTACGATCATCATTATCATTGCTTGCAGATCGCCACGGTGTTTGCGAACATGGCGGCCGTGGAGAGATGCCGGTGTGAGATTGTGGAGAAGGGAGGATTGGAGCTTCTCATGCAGCTGCTGCAGGAGAGACCAGGCGTGCAGCAGAGAGCCACGCAGAAGGTGGCGTGCGAGCGCGTGCTGCAGAAGTCTGCGATCGCTCTCACGAGGCTGAGCTGCATGGAGGAGATAGCAGCCGAGATTGTTCAGCTGACAGGTATGAATGTCTTCACATACGCACGCGCTGCCCATCTCCATTGCCTTCTCGCTTGCTTTCTTGCTCTTCTGTTTTGTCTGGAAGAAGTACCTGGGTGACTCTATATTAAGAAACCTAGTGCATACGCGCACTGCCCACCTCTGCTCTTTATAGCTCCTTTTTTCTTTTTTTCTTTTTTTTGCTCTCTTTGTTTTTTTATCCGACCTCTGCTCTTTTGCTTTTTTGTCTCTTGTTTTTTTGCTCGATCTCTCGCTCTTTTTCATTTATTCCACTTCTACTCCTCTGCTCTTTTTCGCTCTTTTTCTGTTCTTCTTGCTCTCTCCCCTTGATTTCTTTTTATCCAACCTCTGCTATTTTGCTCTTCGATGTTGTCTGGGAGAAGTACCTGATTGACTCTATATGCAGAAACGTAGTGTCCCTTCATCGTATTGTCCGGAGAAGATACGTAACTATGTAAAGAGACTATGGGGGGGCAGCTGTCAGAAACATGATTAGTCTTAACGTTAGTTTTACCATTAACCTTCTTTCGTGAGCCGTTCACAGGATTTTGTTATATATATATATA